CCCTTCACGATACTGAATAGTATAAGAGTATGCTCCTAGGGCAAGGGCCCATCTCTGTATACAGCCTGAGGCTAACACAGGTGTTGCCTTCTTCTCACTAAAAATATAAATGAGAGGCTTATGATCTGTCTTTAATGTAAAATGTCTCCCATAGAGAAATTGGTGGTATTTCTTTACCCCAAAAACAATAGCGAGCGCCTCCTTATCGAGTTGTGAATACTTTCTTTCGGTAAGAGTAAGAGAACGAGAGGCAAATCCTACTGGACGCTCTTCTCCGTATGGCATCTTGTGTGCTGAGACCGTCCCCACACCATATGGTGAGGCATCACACGAGAGAACTAGAGGCAAATTAGGATCAAAATGAACTAAGACTCGAGACGATTTGAGTAGTTCCTTAATAGAACGAAATGCTGTCTCTTGTGGTTCCTCCCAAGACCAACCCTTGTTCTTTTGGAGTAGGCTGTACAATGGTGATAGTACCGTGGCTAAGTCCGGTAAAAACTTGCCATAATAGCTGACCATCCCCAGGAAAGAATGCAATTCACTGACATTAGTACGGGCACAATGGGAGCAGCCCAATTAGAAAATCGCACAGGCTCAATGATACATTCCCTGAGTAATCGATCCAATTCGTCCTCAATTTTCGACTTTAATGAGTATGGAACGGGATGAGCCTTATGAAAAATAGGTGTAGCTTGGGAACTGATGTGTATTTTGGCTTTCACCCCTAGTACAGTGCCAAGTCCCTCATTAAATACTTCGTTAAATCAATTCAAAACATCCTGCAATGAAGGTTGCTCTCCACTTTAAATATATGCTGCCAATCCAGCTTTAACACTGACAACCAGTTTCTTCCAAGAAGTGGAGGTCCCGGCTTCCCTTCCATAACAATAAGAGGCAGTGTCATTTGCTGACCATTATGTTCCACAGTAACGTCAGTAACTCCAATCACCTTGATAGGTTCACCAGTGTATGTGTGAAGTAAAGGCTATGCAGTAAAGGTGCTTGTGTCTTGTAGATTAGTGACAGTGTCAAACTATCTAGAAATACAAATTTTTCACTTTTCAGATTTACATAATCAAGCAAGTGGAATCCCTATGATATCCAAATCTAAAGTTATTTATAAACTGTATAGCTCCAAATTTTTTTCAGTCAAAAATTTTGTCAAAATCTTAATTTCTTGTTAAAATTAATTTTCTTCAATAAAATTTTTGTTATTAATTGTATACTAAAACAAAAATTTTGTTGGTTAGAAATTTTGTCAAGAAAAATATGTGACAAATTTGACAAAAGTTTTGACCAACAACAATTTGGAGATATACAGTAACTTAATGCTTGAGAGAGGTACATTATGGGCAGAAGGAGTAGTTTGAAGAAATGGCTTTCAAAAGAATCTAATTGCAGTATTATGTTGTAGTACAAAACAATGAAATGAATTAGAAAAAGGAAAGGTGTCATCTAAAGTTAAAACAAATCCGGCAACAACAGATTCACGGCTAGCACAGCGTCTAACATCAGTAGAACTTGGTACCATAGCTCTCCTTTGTTGATCAACAGTTAGATGTGATTCAGTTAAATCTAAAAGAGATTCATCATCTTCATCTTGTTTCTTGAATAACTTCTTAATTAGAGCATCATAACATTTCATTTGTGATATCTGCAGGTAAAGATGATAAACAACAATTGCACAAAAACTAGCAATAAAAACAGATAAACAAGTATTGTACCAGATCAATACTTTACTCTCATCAGTAAATGCTACTGATAGAGAAGCAATGATGCTCAAGTTCAAAAGGAACCAGTACTCAATGATGCTGTTTGATTTCTTTCTGTAAGCTCCACCAAAAGCAAAACTAAGTGAGAGAATTATAGCTGCTACTGCCAGTAAAAAAACTCGTGATTCATTCTGCAAAAATGTAACATTCAATATTATTGGTATTCTAGCTATTAAAAGTAGACCAGGCCAGAACCGATACTCATCTTTCATTGGGCCACTATAGCAATGATAATGATCCACAGTTAGAGAGAAACAGCAAACTGGAGCTATTGTTTGGCATAACTGTCCATACCATTGTAAAAACATATCTCAAACCCAAAGTCTAAGTTAATCCATGATTTCACTTGACTCAAGACTGGTAATGCTCCTTTCCTTGAAAAGACTGGCTCATATAGCTTGACAATGTTAGCATAGAACAACAGACCATTCAGTGTACCCACTGATACTGTTAAATTGAGGACAATCAGTAGAACCACAAGTAGTACACCCATCACTGCAAACAGAGCAATCCAAACTATTATCATGTAACTATTATGACACTGTCCACACTTGTTTGATCCCATTAGTAGACTGTGTCCCTCTCTACATGATCCACACATTCTCTGTCCTCTTTTATCCACACATTGAGCATCAGTGTCATTCAACTGAAAGGTAACAGGATTAGGAGAACAATAGAGGAGACAGTCCTCATTGATAATGCATGCATTAGGATTGGTTGCATTAGCATTGAAAGGTGTACTAGCATCATATGTTCCAATCCACAATAGACCATTGTGTGTAATGTTTAGACTATATTTATATCACAAGTCACGTTTCCTCTTGAAACACTTTGACTGCAAGTACAAGTAGCTTGAGAATTATCTATACTAAAATCAATGGGACACTCATAAAGAATATAATCAGTTTTGATAGAAGCTAGAGAGCTATGGGAATCAAGATTTAATATTATAAAATGCTTTGTATAGTTTTGTAGATTTTGTATATATTCAATTTTGGAACATTTACTGGAGACATAGGTCCTGTTAACAAATATTCCATCAACATAAATATCTACTTTACCATCTGTTAGACTTAATGAATTAATATAGTTCATTCCAAACAGAGCAACATTATAATTTAGTGTCTGACCTGGAAAAATGTATTGTTCAGGTGCTACAGCATGATGGCAAGTATGGTATGATATCTTTGTATGGTCAGGATCACAGAAGCACAAATATATTGCTTGACTTGATGAACTGATATTTTTATCTATCAAGTTAAAGGCACGATCTATAAACCCATACAAATCACCACCAGCTACAACAGCAGAGTTATCCTGAAACAGAATATGTATGTCATGGTTAGTGTCAGTATAGTATGGTTGAAGCAGACAATTTTCGTCAATATAAATTCCCCCTCCTTTATAAGAAGCATGGTTATCAATAAAATTTAAGCTTGCCCGAGTAATAGTAATAAAACAGATGAATCACTCATTGTTATACCTCTAACAATTCCAATATTGTTTCATACCATCAGACTATTGTTAACTACTATTAATGATCCTATAATTATCAATCCTGTATTTTTACTGCTAGCAATAGTCACATTACTCAACAAGATATTACGATTCTAGTTCCTTATTATATTTTTATAATTGCCTATCAGTGCAGTGTCTATAATGTTAATGTCAGTAGATGTCAAAATAGTTCCAAAAAAATATAAACCAAATGTATTATTATAGATGTAGCATGATTTAATCTTTATATATTTGGCACTAATGTTAGAGGAATACACTATGAATCGTAAGCCATAATTGTTGTCATTAAATTGGCACTTTTCAATGAGGAATGTAGAAAACGGTGTAACATTATGAAAACAAGATGCTTTTACGTGTGACGTATGAGGCGAGATTAACAAAAAAGTGCTCTCTCAGATTTGTAGACTGTTGACTTAATCATAGAAAAGGATACCAGAGAATTGAAATAAAGCAAATTAATGCCAGCAGTGTCTGACATAGAACTTGTAGCATTAACTTGATTAAAACTGATGAATAGATTATATGAGGTACTGTGAGATACATATAGTTTCAACAAATTACCAATTGATGTAACATTATACAACTTAAGTGTGTAATGTTGCAATTCATTGTGGCAGACTGAAAGAGGATAGTATTTAAATTCACAATCAACATACATAAACACTGAAGATAACAGCTTACTATCAAAAGCATTCAACAGATAAAATCCCAAAGAACCGGGATCATTTGGTAGCGATATAAAAAATGATCCTATGACAGTAATGTTACTGGAATCTATAATATCCACTCTACATGTGTAATAAAAAGACATGCCAGAGAAAGTGACATAACTACTATCCATGATTTTGAATGTAATTTGATGATCATTACTACACATAATTGAATTTGATGGACTAAATCCATAGAAACTAACATTGCGTAATGCACTCACACTAAAACTAGAGTATATGACACTAGTTCCAATGAAGTAGAAGATGGTGTCATTGTATTGAGACATATTCCCAGCATACACTGATAAAGGATTACAAGGTGACTGAGTAACTGAACTGCAGTCATCAGACACATATTACTGACCAGAGGAGACACTGCAGAAGCTACTGAAGAATAAGAGAACAACCACTAACAGGAGAGACATAATCTCTTGTCTTGAATGAAGTGTTATACTGCAACACATATAATAAATAAACTACAGATGTCGAGGGTTACACAAGGATGTTAGTTGATTAGAAGCTGAGGTGGATACTGTTTAAATAATTATGGGTATCCATGACCTTGTATACATGGTTATGCATGGTCATACTCATATACGAGGTAACATTTGGTTTCAATCAATAATATTTATAATACAGATAAACAAGTAGATCTAACTAAAGTGTAATCGTAAAAGACAAATATTCTCAAAAGATTCTGTTTCCTGTTATTACATTTAGATGTTAGTTGATTAGAAGCCTTGGCTCCACCTAGGCTTCTAATCAACTAACATTCTCATGTGGATCTATGTATCCAATGTAGATCTACTCCACTTCAAAAAATTGTTAGACCAATATTTAACAGGAGATTTATAGTAAATTAGTAATTTTCTGTTAGTAAACAGAAGTATTATAATATCTAATTAGATGCTTCATCTCATTATAATGGAAAATAAAGATAAAGGTTTCTGAGCATAATCAAGCAGTAAAGAGGTTTGATGACAAAATAGCATTGCTGTTCATGTATACACATGGAGGACCATAATATTAATCAGAATGACACTAAAGTACTGGATCATGAGAATTTTTATTGGAGGAGAAGAGTTTTATGGAGGCTGTTAGAATCCAAACCAGAGACACCGTGAATCTGGACTGTGCTACCCTGCCTTTCAAGACCAAACTGATTAATCAGAAACAGTTAGTTACATACATGTCAATGTGTTAGTAATCTTTTGTCTGTAAGGCTGTTTGTAATATTTTCTCTGTAAAGCCGAAACGTCTCTTATATAAATTTTTATTATAAATAAAATTGTTGCTGTTGGAGCTCATCCATACAACTACAGTTTATTTGACTCATGACATCGAGAAAAATTAAAATGTAACAACAAGAAAAAATAATCCTGTAACAGACGCTCCAACTATCTGTTAACCAAACTTTATTCTTAATCAACACGAGACTCAACTGAGCTCAAAAACCAACTAACAAAAACAAAACTAACTCACAACTAAAACAACACACTTATATAGATCTTATAAATGTCCAGAAGGTTCTATAACATACAAGAATACTTTACATGATTGTTCTAGAATATACTTGAATAAACACATAATATATAATTACAATAGTACACAGAGAGTTCCGGATCCATTTAGAACCAACTTCTTACATTTCCTCCCTTCCCCTCTGGCACGAAGTGCTCTTCCTCTCCAATCTAGAAAGTGCATCTGCATTTGCATTTGCTACCCCTTTCCGATGTTGTATAGTGAAATTATATGGTTGCAGAATCAAACTCCATCTAGTCAATCTTGCATTCTTCTCTTTAAACTTGTGTAGCCATTGAAGAGCTCTATGATCCGTTTGAATAATAAAAGATCTCCCTATGAGATATGCACTGAAATGCTTGATGGCTAGAATAATAGCTAAGCACTCTTTTTCGACTGTCGAGTATGCTTGTTCTCTCGGGAGTAGCTTTTTACTAAAATAAGCAACTGGTCCCTCATCTAAATTCTCCTCTCCTTGACTAAGAATTGCACCAACTCCTACTCCTGAAGCATCAGTTGCA